GTCGTGTAAACATTGACTTATCTTTACACGGGAACCTTCCAACTTTGTTCCGTTCTCATGGGTGTGCCCGTTTTGGCCATGGGCATTAATGGAGTATATGGCCCGGGAACCCCCGGCCCACAGACTCCTGCTGCTCCAACACAGGCCCAACAGGCCCAGGAAGCACATGGAGCCCAAAGCACCGCGGCCCAGGCTCGGAGGGGTCCACGGTGCGCCCGAGGATGCCTTCAGCACCATGGCCGAAGGCTCCTAATTCCACAGAACAGCATGATTTGAGCATACAAAGCTACTGGGAGAAAATGGCAGATTTAAGAGCCTTCGACATCTTCATGCCCTCGGCATAAAAGTTGCCTTCGGCTATATCAAGCCTTCGGCTGCAGAGAGCCCCCGGCTACGGGGGAGCCTTCGGCTAACAACTCAATCATCGAAGATTCCCTTTGGAGACAAGCAACCACCGCATTTAATGCGGCGTCACATCCAACCACCGCATTTAATGCGGTGCACATGCGAGTGCTGGTGCCACCCCGATTGAGGTGACCCCTCGACCGTTAGATTGTTGACACGTGTACTCTCATCGCATTTATGGCTGCTATAAATAGCAGCCCATATTCCTCTTGTAAAGATCCCAGAACAAGTTCATTTATTATACTTGGCTCTCTCTCTCTCTCTCTCTTACTTGCTTGCTCTGACTTCTCTCTAGGTTATTCCCCGCAATAACCCCTCGGATAAGCTACCCCCGGGCACACTATCCATCAGGCACCATCCTGGTTCTGCAGGAGTTTCTAAAGAATTGAGCCTATACAGTTCTCCTATGAAGCGACCATCTTCTCTCTCACGTAGGTGATTCTTTCACGAGTATCCCGCATACTCTTCCAATGTTATCAAGCAGATCAACATTTCAGAATCATTGAAGCAAACATTTTTGCTAACCTCGCATGGGAGTCACTGTTTCAACGAGGAGTGGGTAGGAGTCCGGGACCCCCACAGTGATCATCGTTCGCTCTATAATTTAGTTATCCCTTTTGAACTAAGGACCAACTAGGTTAGGTTTCCACTATAGAACTTTTCAAATTACGGGCTTTAGTCCCATTCCTCGTGACAACTTCTCCAACAATTCTCTATCTAATTCCTTGGTTAGCGGTTCCATTATGTTATCCTTTGACATCACGTAGTCAAAAGTGATAACACCTGTTTTGAGAAGTTGTTTAATGGTGTTATGTCTACAACGAACGTGTCTAGACTTACCATTGTACATGTTACTCTGTACCCTTCCTATTGCCGCTTGACAATCACATTGTATGCATATTGGAGGGACATGCTTTTCCCAACTTGGAATATCCTCGAGAAAATGGCGTAACCATTCAACCTCTTCAGTGCACTTATCTAAGGCTATTAGCTCAGAATCCATCGTGGATCTAGCTATTACCATTTGTTTTGAGGATTTTCATGACATGATTGCACCTCCCAAAGTGAAAACATATCCACTTGTGGGCTTTGAGTCCTTAATGTCAAATATCCAACTAGCGTCGCTATACCCATCAAGTATAGCTGGATATCTAGCATAGTGCAGTCCAAGGTTTTGGGTTTTTCGTAAATACCTCAAAACTCTTACTATTGCCTTCCAGTGTTCGTCTCCGGGGTTGCTAGTATATCTACTTAAGAAATACACTCTCCACGATTTTTGGACAGGTGTACGTTTTTGTCTAATGTTGTCCTTGCCTCTTGATAATCATCCTAATTAAATTTAGTAAGGATTTTATCAACGTGATGGGATTGGCTTAGGACAAGACCATATGGTCCCCTAATTATTTTAATCTCAAGGATATTAAATCGGTCAACCCCTTATCCTTCATGTCAAATTTAGAATTGAACATGCTTTTGGTAGAATTAATCATTAGATATTTAGATTATTACTACCCACGATGAGTATATCATCCACGTATAAACACAAAATGACATAGCCGTCTACTGTGCTCATCACATAAACGCATTTGTCACTTTCGTTTATTTTAAACCTATTACTTAACATTGCATGATCGAAATTTTTGTGCCACGGTTTAGCAGCTTGTTTCAATCCATACAATGACTTAATTAATTTACATGCTTTCCTTTCTTGGGCAGGAACACGAAAGCCTTCGGGTTGTTCCATATAGATTTATTCGTCTATATTTCCATTTAAAAAGCGGTTTTTACGTTCATTTGATGAACCTCCAATTTCCGCAATGCGGCAATTGCTAGTATCATTCTAATGGAATTTATTCTCATCACAGGAGTATACGTGTCAAAGTAGTCATGACCTTCCGCTTGTATCCCTTGATTACATGTCTGGCCTTGTACCTGTCAATGGAACCGCCAGGTATCATTTTCCGTTTAAAAATCCACTTGGATCCAAAGGTTTACATCCAGGAAGATCAACCAATTCCCACATGTGATTTTGTAGGATAGAATCCACCTCACTTTTGATGGCTTCTTTCCACAAAGGACCTTAGGCAGACGTCACAGCTTCCGTATAAGTCTGGGGCTCATTTTCTACCAAACATGTTAGAAAATCTGGTTCATTTTCTACCACACATGTTAGAATATCCGAGTCAAATTCTACCAAGTAGGTGAGAAAATCTGGCCCGAAGGATTTTTCAATTCTAGCCCGTTTCCTACGTCCGGTTCGGCTTCTTCTCCGGACCCATCACTTGTATTTACCATAGCTATGTCAAGGGTTCGTTTTGACGTGCTCGGTCCTTCGTTGGACTTGCATGGAAATACGTCTTGAAAGAATGATGCATTCATTGATTCAATTATTGTGTTTTTATGTACATCCGGATTATTCGAATCATACACTAAAAACCGATAAGCACTACTCCCTCCGTCCCATAATGGTTGTCCACTTTCAATTTGGCACGATTATTAATAAAGTGGTTGAAAAGTAAAAGTTGTGGTTGAGATTTGAGTAGAATAAAGTGAATTAATAAGAACCACATATTTCATGCCAAAAAAGGAAACAAGACATTCATTTTGGGACAACCCAAAAAGGAAAGTAAGACAACCAAAATGGGACGGAGGGAGTACTATTTTTTTGCATATCCAATAAAAATACAATCCACCGTTTTGGACCTATTATTATTTTCTTAGGTGTTGGTATAAGTACTTTTGCAAGACACCAACACACTTTAAAATATTGATATGAATGTTTTCAACCTTTCCACAACTCGTACGGGGTTTTATCAGATTTTTTCCGGGGAACCTTATTTAAAAAGTAATTGTTTGACAAGACTGCTTCACCCCACATATTTTGTGGCAAACCCGAACTTACTATCATCGCATTCATCATATCTTTCAATGTGCGATTCTTTCATTCGGCAAAAGCATTTGATTGAGGTGAATAGGGTGCGGTACGTTCATGTACTATACCCACGCTCGCGCAAAAGTCTCCAATTGATGCTTCATACTCACCACCTCGATCACTTTTAACCGTTTTAATCCGTCGATTAAGTTGGTTTTCCACTTCATTCTTATAAAGAATGAATTTATCAATTGCTTTGTGTTTATTTTTCAACAAATAAAAATAGCTATAGCAAGTGCTATCATTGATAAAAGTAATAAAATATTTATTACCGCCACATATTTGTATTGCTTTAAAATCACAAACGTCACTGAATTAATTCAAGTGGTTCCATTTTTCTTTCAACCGATTTGAAAGATGTTTTCGTTAGTTTTGCCTCTACACAAATTTCATAATTGTGCTTCAAATCAATTGTGAATTTAGAAATGTGTTCCATGTTATTTAATATACGTATAGATTCAAAATTAACATATCCTAGTCTACCATGCCACACATTGGAAGTCTCAAGCAAGTAAGCAGAAGAGATTTTATTATTATTATTATTATTATTATTATTATTATTATTATTATTATTATTATTATTATTATTATTATTATTATTATTATTATTATTATTATTATTATTATTATTATTATTATTATTATTATTATTATTATTATTATTATTATTATTATTATTATTATTATTATTATTATTATTATTATTATTATTATTATTATTATTATTATTATTATTATTATTATTATTATTATTATTATTATTATTATTATTATTATTATTATTATTATTATTATTATTATTATTATTATTATTATTATTATTATTATTATTATTATTATTATTATTATTATTATTATTATTATTATTATTATTATTATTATTATTATTATTATTATTATTATTATTATTATTATTATTATTATTATTATTATTATTATTATTATTATTATTATTATTATTATTATTATTATTATTATTATTATTATTATTATTATTATTATTATTATTATTATTATTATTATTATTATTATTATTATTATTATTATTATTATTATTATTATTATTATTATTATTATTATTATTATTATTATTATTATTATTATTATTATTATTATTATTATTATTATTATTATTATTATTATTATTATTATTATTATTATTATTATTATTATTATTATTATTATTATTATTATTATTATTATTATTATTATTATTATTATTATTATTATTATTATTATTATTATTATTATTATTATTATTATTATTATTATTATTATTATTATTATTATTATTATTATTATTATTATTATTATTATTATTATTATTATTATTATTATTATTATTATTATTATTATTATTATTATTAGTCATTATTATAAAGAGCCAATGCTCATAAATAATGTATGTACTCCCTTCGTCCTTATTATATCTTCTAAATAGGTTTGACACACAGTTTAAGATAATGGGTATTGTGTGGTGGGGAGTTGTGCAGAAGAGGGAGAAATATGTAAGAATTGGTGTGAACCATAAATTCTGGCCAAAAAGAAAAAGTGAAATTTTAATTGGGACGTATAAAAAAGGAAAATTGGAAATTTATTAAAAAATAGAGGAAGTAAAATTTATTAGACACAGCGGAGCGGGTGTATAATAATATATAGGGAGTGGTGTAGACGGCTTACGGACCACGTCTCATCTGGAAATGAGAGTGGGGGGTCAACTGAGCCAGCAAATCGGAACACCCCAACGCTCCCTCCTCTTCAATTCCCCCAACAACGACTCCGTCCAAACTGAACTTATTCCGGCGAACTCATGACGACCGACGACCACAACAAGTCCGACGCCAAGGTCTGGAAGCTTTGGCCTTTCTGCCACTCCGGAACCTCATCTTCATCACCCTCTTCCACTCAGAACCTCAACTCTGCACGCCGTGACGGTGTTAGATCCTCTACCTCGGCCACCTCTATCTCTCTCTCTTCCGTTGCTAGATCCTTCCTCCCTGCTCACCGTCGCCTGCGCCTCGATCCAGCTAATAATCTATATTTTCCTTGTGCGTTCTTCATTTTCATCCTTGTCTTACTCCTCTCACCATCTACTCCCTCTTTATCTTATTTATATCTCTCTAGGCGTACCAATTTTCCTTTTCCCTTTTCGGTAGAGTGTTCAAATTATTGCTTAACTATCATATGATTTGTAGATAAATAGGAAGGGAGTATTTCAATCATTATTTTCCAACCATGTTATTGAGTTTCACCTTGTCATTTTCTAGTGCTGATTGAAGGAGTTTTGTATTGATTTGTATGATAAAGATGAACCAGGAAAGCAGACGAGGAGTGCTGTTAGGATTAAGAACAATAGCAAATCTTATGTAGCTTTTAAGGTAACATCTTGTTCCTTTTTTTTTTATCTGTATGGCTATAAAAGTATAAAATTTGACGAGTAAGTTTGGAATTATACTATTTAGGTTTTAGTTATAGTCCTTTCCTAGTTCGGCATAACTTATAAAACATTGTTCTGAATTGATTATGCTACTTGGGATTTGACTTATGAATGTGATGGCTGTATTATTTCCTCTCTTTGGAAAGTCCATTCTGGTCAAATGTCATATATGTTGAAGGTTTTATTGTAGAGACTAGAGAGTTGCATTTTTTTCTTTTTCGGAAAGGATGTTTGTTGAGTTACATTTGGCTGAACCCAGTTGATTTTGTTGAAATGACTGAACTGGTCTGTTTAACCAATACCCAGGTAAAAACATTAAAAAAATATATAGTTCCTAAAATATGAAAGGTAATGTTGTCTATTTTTCTTCTCAAATCAGCAACGTAACTCCTTCAATTTCTTTTTTTATTCTAGTGATTCAAGTATTCAACCATATTAGAAAAAGGTGTTTAGTGGAAAAACAGTTGTGCTGTATGTTCATTGAATGAGCAGTTGAGTATACACTCTTATAGATTCCCCCCCCCCCCTTTTCTATTCAAGTTTCAAACAACATCACCAAAGAGCTGTTATATGCGACCTCCGGGAGGTATTCTTGTGCCTGGTGAAAACATTATTGTCACTGGTAAGCAACTGCCATGATAATTTGAATCTATGTTCATATTTTGGTATAACTTCAACTACAATCACTCAGAAGACCTGATGCGTTTCCTTTGGTTGCTACTTGCATTTCGATTTCTGCCCTGCTTGACAGTCTTCAAATTTGTGGAGCATCCAGAGAAAAACGAAAAACCGCCCTTGGATAAAAAAAGCAAGGTCAAGTTCAAGATCTTGAGCTTGACAATAAAAAAAGGTGCAGACTATGTGCCAGAGCTGGTGAGTTTAACGAACTTCAGTGCAATTTTTGTTCTTGGAAAATGTCATTTACAAAAGAACATGCATTTCACATTTCACATCATTTATGTGCTTTTGTTTCTTCAATCTTTCCATAAACAAGTACTGGTATATGTGTGCTAAGTAGACAGCCTATTATTTGGGGAGTGCTTACATGAAGAATACTAATAATCTTGATAATATTATAAAGTACAAGATACTAAAAGAATGTGTGGTTTGACCTATTAGAATAAGAAAACTGGATAGATGATGATTAGCATTTGAAAAATAAATGACGTGCTGTTTTGCTTTTGTTTCATGGATCAATTTTTTTTATAAAAGGGGAAATCTCCCCTTTATTTGTCTTCGTGGTCCCAGTTTCTAATTATGGCATTCTGAAGTATAAAATCTGAATATTCTACTAATATTTCTGCATGGGGTATCTTAACAGGACAAATTGAATGCTCTTTAACTGCTCCTGGATCTACTTTTATTTGATATAGACCTACTAACTTTAAGAAATATTTTTTTAACTTCAATATAGTTTGAAGAGCAAAAAGATAAAGCAACTGTTGAGCGAGTTTTGAGAGTGGTTTTCCTGGACCCAGAACGCCCTTCTTCGGTAATACAAAATCATCTAATGCTTATTATGAATGCATATATAGTCTTATTTGTTTGAAAATCCAATTTATGAGGGCTCAATAATATTTCCAAGGCACTGGATAAGTTGAAGCGCCAGTTGGCCGAAGCTGATGCTGCTACAGAAGCTTACAAGAAACCTGTGGTCGATACAGGTCCAAAAGTTGTGGGAGAAGGTCTTGTAATTGATGAATGGGTAAGCATGTTTAGGATTAAGGACGCAAATAAGCTAATATGCAGGAAATTATTTTGACACTTTTTAAACAATAAAGGTCCTAGAGGACTTACCCTTGAAAGTTTATGGTCTCTATGAGCCAAGACTATTAGGTCAATCCAGGTTTTGGCCACTGCCTTTCATTTTGATATATATTTGGTGCACAACTATGGATTCCTTGTCACTTTCGGTCCTCTGTGTCCTGTACAGCAAAGTCAATGAAAAATGTGCAAATATTGGCCAGATAAGTTGTTGGAAGGACCAGAAGTGGTTAAGGATCCATAATCTGCACCTTGAGTGGAATGACCTAATAGTCGGGAACTACAAATGTAACATCTCTTTGTAGAAGGGTATTTCTCATTGGTTTTTGCAAAGAAATGCTTCAAACATTGTGTTTTGCAGAAGGAGCGACGAGAAAAATATCTAGCGCGTCAACAAATCGAAGAAGTGGAATCAAAGTAGAAACCCGTTAATCCAAAACCACCCATTTTGTGCGACCCTTTGCTAATGTGATTGGAGAAGGGTAGTGTTCCGCATCATGTATAGTTTGCATAATAATGTGATTTGGGATTACTCCGTACTATCTCATGTGTGCTGAAATGGATCTTATGAGTAAGAATGAGCTTTTCTAGCACGTAGGTATTCTTTTTGGATATTAGTACTCCCTTCAAAAAACCACAACCATGACTGAAATTTTTATTTTCAAGAATGCACCTGTATGTTTGTAATCAAATGTGTAGTACATTACAGACTGATTCTGTACTCTGAGCTTTGGATGTAGTGTAAGATTGTCTTTATTGATTAAATGCTTGTCCTGTTGAAAGTGACCTAATTTTTGAATAAATTTCTTGTCTCGAGCTGCAAAAATGAACTGTTAATTGAAGAATAATAATGCATTTTTTGACCAAGTGAAATTTTGCTAGCGACTACGTCGAGAAGGATAACGTCGAGAAGGATAACGAGTATTGAGTAATGACTAAAATAAGTATCCTGTTGAAAGTGACATTTTTTTCTTTTCTAAAAGGAAAAATTGACAAAAATAATCTCACATTTCGCTGGTCTTCTCATAATAATCCCACCTTTAGATAATTTCAGAATAATCCTACTTTTTCACCCCATTTTTTTTCATTGGACCCTGACCATGATTTTTACTCTTTTTTTGAAAATCATATAAATAATCTCACCTTTCACTTTTCTATTATATCTTTATAAATGTGAGATTATTTATATAAGATTTTCAAATAAAGGTAAAAAACTTGGTCAGGGTCCAATGAAAGAAGATGTGGTGTAAAGGTGGGATTATTTTGGGATTATGTAAAGGTAGGATTATTATGAGAAGACCAGTGAAAGGTGGGATTATTCTTATCAATTTTCCCTTTCTAAAATAAGTAACCAAAGCTATAATTGAACATTGACTCTCGAACTAACTTAAAAAGTGCAATTAACCCCATTATATAGAAGACTCTGTCCGGCCATAGTCAATTGGGGCAGTTCCTATTGGAATTTTTTGATATTTTTTTTAGAATCTACTTTTGGTTTATCCATATCAAATTTCAGATAAAAATTCAACCGGGAAGGCAGTCAAATGATTTTCTTAAATGTACTGCGCTGTTTAACTGCTCAGTTCTCTTCAAAAATTCATTTGACTGTCTTCCCGATTGAATTGTTATATGAAATTTGGTATGGGTAACCCAGACTTAATGAAGAAGATGTTCAAAAAATTTCATAAAAAATTCTACCGGGAACCGCCCCAATTGACGACGGCCGGACATAGTCTCCTATATAAGGGGTTAATTGCACTTTTTAAGTTAGTTCGAGTGCCTATTTGACCCTCATTTGAAATGACCATACCTGTCTTCACTCGAGTCATAGACTCATAATAGCGACCAAATGAATCATACTACCCCCGTCTCTTTTTAGTTTGCCAACTTTGACTTTTCCAGTCAAAGGTGATAAACTTGGATCTATTGTTTTAACTAATATATTTATGTAAACGTTAATAAATTTATACTTTTATGGTAGTATTTTCAACAAAGAACATTTTCACATAATTTTCTTATTATCAATATTACCGTGTACAACTTTGACTTGAAAATTTGTGTTTGACAAACTTAAAAAGGACGGAGGGAGTATGAAACTAGGTGAGATTTTAAATTTTAGAAAAAAGTCAATTCACTAAATAGTTGAATTTAATGAGTCATTTTCACTATTTCTAAGTCATTAGTGTCCTTGGTGTCGGAGAGTACTCCTCATTCAGGCAAAAGGATTATAAGCGAGATGACGCCAATGCTAATGTTGGCTAAGAATGTTTTTATTTGGATTTTTTTCAGTTCATCAGATCAAACTCAAGTAGACTAGATCTGATCAGAAGACATTTATCAGTACAGTTCAGATCAGATCAACAAATATCAGTCCAAGTAAAAACATCTTAATTATAGCATTGAGCCGAGACCAAGGGTGACGACCGGCGCCCTTTGTCTTCACTGAATACCCTCAGCCTTTAGTGTCGGGCTCACCCATCCTCTTCCCTTGATTCTTCGGGCCCCGAGATAAGTGACAATACACTTCATACTTGTCTCATAAATTAAAGAGTAATTATATTCACAGCCCCAACATGTATTCTTAGTCACTTAATTAAATAATTAAAAATAAAATATAATTCAAATATCTAAATTGCCCTTATTAAAAGAGAAAAATAGATCAGTGAAGCACGCGAGGCCTAAAGAAAACAGTGAAAAACTCCTTGGAACCGATAATAAGTGATCGATTTATTTATGAGAATATTACCCGAAATAGGACTAAAAAGGTTTGAAAATTCCAAAATAGGACTGTCATGTTTTTATTCTCAAAATAGGACTAATTACTGTCATGTGTTGGCAGTACCAGACTTCAAACATGACACTATTTTCCAAACTTGGCAGTAAATACTCTTATTTTGGGAATAAAAAAACATGACAGTCCTATTTTGAAAATTTTAAACTGTTTTAGTCCTATTTCGGGAACTTTCCCTTTATTTATTTGAGCACCCTTCCCTTTTTTAAAGAAGTCTAATTGCACTATACTTAATTAAATCAGAGCTTACAAAAGCACATAAAATCATAGCTTAATCTAATAATTTGTTCGTTTATCTGTAATTCTTCCAAAAAATTTTAAAACCCATATGTGACTTCTTTATGCAGTCGCATGAGGTGTTATGACATGATCTCTATCATTTTTTAATGAAGAATCCTACTAAAAAAATAAATGGCAAAGATCATGCCACAACACTCCACCTTACTTCATAAGGTAGTCACATGTGATTCTGTAAACTACTTATAATTCTTCATCAGGTTTTGAAGATCTCTATCGGAATTGTCATCTGCCTACTTTGCAATCTTAGTTCAGCCCCTTCTTCTTCTAAATCTTTTTAGCTTTTTAGCGCTTGACTTCTCAAAAGCTTCAACCTCTCTTAGACCATTTGTAGTGGTTATAGATTAGGAGTCAAAAGATTAAAAATGGAATTTTTAGACTCTTAATTTGGTATAGTGGTAGATTAAAAGGGGGAGTAAAAGTGGGAAGGGGAGTGGAAGAGTGTATAAATAGAGGGTTAGGTTGACAGGGTAAAAGAAAAGGAAAAAGAAAAAAAGAAAAAACGCGGCGCTCTTCTGCGGTGTTCATGCGTTCTGCTGACATCATGATGATGTCATGCAGATGTCATTAAAATCCCAATTAATTTTAAACTCTTATAACTTTTTTATTTGTTCTCCGAATTTTTCAAAAATTATACCAAAATTCATGAATTTTTATGATCTTTCATATGACACCAATATTTAATATATAAAATGCTAAAAAAAAATTAACTGTTGAAGTTTTCTTGAACCCAAAAAAACACGAAATACAAATTTTTAATTCATTGAGCCTTCACAAATACTAGCTGGATATTCCATAATCCAATTTTATTTGAACTATCTTCATTTTTTGTTAACAAAAAATCATATAAAAAATTAGTGAAATTTATTTTTTTTACTTCGAAATGTGTATTTTTTTTCATAATTATCCAGGCAAAAAGTCAAAAGAAAAATATTGCTTATAATAATTTAATTAATGTTTTACTAAATCGATATGTAAAAAATATGCAGAGTGTATTATATTGACGGTGCACGGATGCAGAGAAAAACAGTATTGACGGAGTCTAAACACTGTTTTCATATGGACGGAGTCCAAATTTAACAATTTGGAATCTTGACCACTGCAAATGGTCTTACATGCGAATATAATTTTTTTTGACTCCTGCTACCCTACCAGTCAGAAGGTACAAGGATATGACAGGGCGGTTTCAATGTGGAGGGCTCCGATTACGGAAGTCTTGGCTGCTACAAATCTGAATTGCAACGGAAATTGGGCGATTCGGCCGACTCTGAGCTTCTCGGTGAAAGAAAACCATAAGGGTAATTCTAAATAGAGTCACATAATTACTATTCACACTCCTTAATTAAAATTAATTAATAAAATATAATTAAAATCCCTATTATATCCTACACGGACAATCTCACTCCTCTTTGCCATCCACCTCGATCCTCTTAACCATGGCTTCAAGATTAGCCAAAAGACACGTCAGTAGATTATATTTCAAACTGTTCTCTTCATCTTTGTCCCATCTCTGCATCTGGGGTGGTTTTTTTTGGAGAATCACAAGAATCTCACACTTCCTCACTCAATTATTCCTTCTGCTTCAGTGAATTCACCTCCCTCTTCACTTATCAAAATACTCAATTTCCCATATTCCTTTCCCAACAGATTGAAAATCTAATTTACCTCTCATCACCACACCCTACTTGGCTGAAACCCTAACAGTATATATCAAAAATTTCTCAAAGCAAGCTGAGCGGACAAGCGGTTGCGGAAGAATTTCAAAGCGGAGATGAGTCAAAGCGTCAGGAGTTCTGTGGGCCAGGTTTCGAGCGAGATGAATCCGCCACTGCCATAGACTCCACCAGACCACCACCACTGCTACAAAGCTTCGGTGATGACCACCGCCATAACTTCCGCCACCGCCGCCTTAACGTCTGCCACCACCTTGGTGATATTCACCGTCGTGGCCTCGGCCATATCTTACCGTCTTAGAAGATGAGTTGCTTTAGCAGTATAAAAGAAAACAATTTCATCAAGGATAAACTTGTAAATTTTACCAATTTATTTAAACGAATTTTAAACATAGGGCTGTGGATAGTAAAACTATGGTTGTATTTAGAATTGCCCAAACCATAAACATAGATTATTAGCTCATTTGGTAGCACTAAAATTGGATAAATCGATTGCATTTGTTGAAATTGATGAAATTCTGGCTGAATTGGCTGAATCGCTGCATTATGGAAAACTATATTTAAAATATATTTTGTTAATAAAATAAAGAAAAAATTATATGAAAGATAGCAAATATTATCATATACACTAACTTTTGCCAATTCAGCCAGAAAAGTAATCTGACTTATTTTGAATATTATACATAGTGCAATTTAGTGCAAAAAAATTAAAGTTACGTGTTTCGTAAAAAAATTGTTGATAAACTGAAAATGAGGATCAACAAAGAGCTCTAAATAGGAGTATTACTCTCTAGGTCCCATATTACATGCCTTATTTTTCTTATTGGGATATTCCAAAATAAGTGTCACGTTTCCTTTTTGAAAAGAAATATGTGATCTACAATATTTCATTTTATTATACTTAAATCTCAACCATAACTTTTAATTTTTTGACTACTTTATTAATAATCATAAAAAACTTGTCACGTCATTTCAACATGATACTATGTGATTTAATTATCAACATGTCATAATATTATTTTGGGAAATTTGTAAAATTAGTCCCGTAAC